TTATGCTATAGCTTGAATTGCTCTACAGCTTCATATTACAAAGGAGAAGTGGAAAAGAGATAATATAGCAGCCATGAAATTTCTAGATCAGATTATTAATTTAGTTCTTAAGTATCTGTGGAATTTTTGCTCACTCTTGCTAAAAGTTCTCAAAGCAAAGCCAATCAAGCAACTTATCAAGCAATTTGATAAGCCTTTTTCTACTTCTACCTGGTACAAAAGCCAAAATCTTCTTTAAAAGATTTAGTGAACTATTGGGACACACTAGCTTTTACTCTTCCTGACAATATTAAACTTTCTAAAACTACCACTTGTTCAGCAATTTATTCAAAGTGATAATGGCAATGAACAAGGAGGACCTACAGCCATTCTCAGAGTTCTGGCTGTCACGCTGTCCCCACAATCATGTGATCATAATTTGAGTGCTTGGTTACCTGGATCACGATTACACAATCACAACCAGCCACAGTCACATATTCTCCATTTGTAGTCTTTCCTGCCAGGTTCCCACAAACAAATCAATGGGGAAGCTTGCAGAAAGTTGTAAATTACACCTATAGGTCATTTCCACCATTTTACTCACTGTTATGTGTGGGCACTGTAGATTATGAGTGGGGCTGTGAGGGCCACTCTGTAACAACCCCCACCTGCCTATTCTGTGTAGCAGCCCCCAAAGGCCTGGCCATGATCCATAACACTTACCTGTGGCCCTCGCCAGCCCCATTTGCCTGCCTGCATCCCCCAACAGCCTGTCTGTACTCAGAAGCATCTGTCTTCAGCCTCTGCTGACCTGCTTGCATTGAGATGTGTCCATCTGTAGCACTCATCCACCCACCTGCAGCCCTCACCTGCCAAGCTGCTTGCCTAGGGTTATTTGAGGTTTTCTCTTAATGACCCGCAGTCTCTGGGTTTTGATGGCAAAACAAGATGCAGTCACATGATGTCTTGATTTAGGAATGCATTGCTTAGTGATGGAAATCCTGATCCCAATTGCCATCATAACCTCGTCCCCTACATTGCTTAGGAATTAAACTGCTCTGGAAGGTTCTACGGCTTGCTCTAAAAGCATTTGGAAGCTTCAAATGGTGACCAATCTCCTCTCCCAGTTTGCAAAGATTATCCATTGAATTCTGGGTGATTTCGGAATTCTGGTTTAATATTTAAAGATCTAAATTGTTTGACATCGGATAGAATAAGGCAGATTTCTTCCATGCATTTCTTCCGACATGCATTTGATTTGATTTGATTGAAATTCAGTAGATTGTATTGTTTTGCATAGTTTCTAAGGGCTATTATATTTTGGGTATTGCTAATTATATTGTAATTTGTCTGTTATATTTTAACATCTACTTATGTTTACTATTATTATTTGAGCTACAGAGAGAAATAACAAAAACATACCTTATTAAAAAGAATACATAAATGCCTTTATGTATTTCAGGGAACAAGTGTTTTATCTCCAGGCCTTCACATTGGTCTAATTATTACTTTGGCAATAATGATCTACAAAAAATCCCCAACTCAACTGTTTGAAAATCATCCCTGTCTGTATGCCTTAACTTTTGGATTTGTGTCTGCAAAAATTACACAAAAATTGGTGGTAAAACATTTTTGATATTTGGTGTACATATAATATGTTTAGCTGATGTAACCCAAGTATTTTAACATATTAAAGAATGCTAAAAATCAGGATTAATGTGATATTAATAAAAATGTCGAAGTAATACTTTCTTTGATGCATATTCACCAAGAAAAGAGGCCCTTTGAGTTCAGTCGAATTTATTTCCAAATTAGTGTGATTAGGATTGTAGCTAATGTGGGCAAATTGAACATATGTTTCTTAAAAACTACTTAGAGATCTAGAATATGATGATAGTATATAAATTCAATTTTAAAAGTGGACACTTACTGCAAATTATGGTTTATTAATACAAACAAACAAAACAAAGAATGATTTCATGGTACTATTTTGCCAAAGCAAATATTTGCAAACAATATAGTTTCAGATCTTATTATTAAGGCCACATTTACTGGACATCAAGATGATCTAGAATGTATGTATTTACTCCATGTAAATCCAGTTTTAATAAACATTGAATATATATTGTATATTACAGTTTCTATTCTACATCAAAATTATTAAAGTTTGTATCTGTGATTAAGTACCGCTACTAGCAGACAAAATCTGTTCAATATTTTTGTAGTTTTTATTTTATTAAAAAGTGAATTCTTACTATTCTTACTGAGCATACATTCTAGATCAATTTGAATGGTTTTTGATTTTATAGCATTTTAATATCTCCCAAGACTTGATAGTATATTTGCATTGCAAAAGGTTAAATAGAATCTAAAGTCTTAATTTAATAGATAACTTAATTTCTGTTTATAGGTAGCACACATGACAAAAAGTGAGATCTTACTTCAAGACACTGCCTTCATTGGGCCAGGCCTCTTATTTCTAAACCAGTACTTCAATTGTTTTATTGATGAATATATTGTTTTATGGGTTGCACTGGTAAGTAAATTTCCATTGAATTTGCATGTATTCTATTTTTAATGTAATTTTGTATATGATTACACATAATGTTTGGTAATTTGAATTTTGAGTGGATTATCTAATTTAGAAATCAAGAATTGAAAGAAGTTATTTTAAAAACTGAAACATACCTAAGCGGTCTGAAATAAATGATACAATTTTGTAAGAATTTTAGAAAAGTCTTTAAAAAGAAGGTACAAAGACATATAGCAGCTTTATTCGTAACAAGGCAGCGATAAGGAAAAGGCACAAATGGCTGTGCTCCTCAAATAATGGATAGTGATTCTTCCAGCGAGACAATAAAGGAAAAGAAAATGTGGAATTAATCTACCTTGAAAACGCAAATCCCTTATGTCTTAAAATAGCCTCCACAAAGTATATAGTCTTATAAAGAAAATATAATGTCATCATTCCTTATCTGTCCAACCTATGCTAGAGTTTATCCAAAGTAATCTAGATTTAGATAAAATGAGGTCATAAAGAAGAACTAATGTTATTGAATCATACTGAAACATTAAATAAAAGATTTAAAAATCTTTAAATGTCTTTTAAAAGATATCAAAATGGCACCATAATAGTAAGCTAAAAGAATCACATTATTACTGAAAATGATTATGAGTTGACAGCATAGTCTTGAAAGGATGAATGATAGATATTGATTGTGTGAGAACACTGGGATAGGAAACCCAATATCTTTATCATATCCCTAGAAACTCTATGCAATGTAGCATAATTATCCAAACATCTGTAGGAAATACTAACCAGGAGATAGCTTAAATAAGAATACAATTGACATACATCCTTTCCTGTTGCTCCCCTGAAAAACCGGCATACATTACAGCTTTATTGAAATACAGCAAATATTTCCCCTTTGAGTGGACCTCAATTACTGTAAAAGAATAGAGTGAAATCTTTTTTCTATAAGTCATTTCTATAACTCATAGGGGATGGAGTTTCTATCTGAGAAGAAATCTGGCACCAGCAAAAAGATGCTTTGAAAAAGAAGCTAAGTTAATTTGACCAGGAACTAGTTATTTTCCTTGAACATGTACTTGTGAGAGAAATTAACATGTATCAAACACTAGTGAATAAAGACTTTTCAATTTTTGAAGTTAATGAAATTATCCAGTTGTTATTTGAGGACATTTCTGCAGAAACTCCATCATACCATTAGATGATATGAAAAAAAAATCATGAAAGTGAATTATTTTCCATAATTTCTAAATGAGGATAAAGACAGTCTCATATTTTTGTCATATAGTCTATTATCATTTTACATTTATACTGATTAACCTGCTTTTCAGCCATAGCCCACATTCCCTTTGTCTCCTGTCTAAATCCAGCTTGAACCTGCTTAACTTAAGAACTTGTTTGCTTATTGCAGCCAAGAAAGATTCTAGCAGGCTTTCTTGTCATCTTTGCGAATACCCTTAAGCTCAGCTTTCCGGACTCTCCTGTGGAAAAAAAAAAGTGAGGGAAAAAAGAGAGAATAGAATGCCATGAATTTGTGTATGTTTAGGCAGGAACATAACTGAAGAGAGAGAAAAGACTGCACCACATGATGATTTAGATTTACTGTTAATAGCTGTCACTAATGGATTGAAATATATCATTATATTTGCATGTATTAACACCAACTTAGAAGAGGAGGCAACCATGGCCTTTTATTTTTCATTCATTACTCTGTAATTTATTGGATGCACAATTGGAATTTTCTCTTTCTGGGGGATGGAAGAGTGAGAAAATTAAACTTTATAGTTTATACAAAGACATATTTTCTATAATTGTACAGAACAGTAAAATATTAAAAGTATTACAATTCTCACTTGATTGGTAACTTTATTTTTTTTATTTGGCTTTACAAGAATTTAAATTATCTGCTAGAGCCAGTAGTAGGATAAAAGTAAGAATAATTCTGCTTGTATGCAGTAGGTGCTGTAATATTAACTTGTAAGATTTCTTTTTCCCCTTCTTCATCTTTAGTTCATCTCGTTGTTTGATTTGCTGAGATACTTTACTGGACTATGCCTACAGATTGCTGCTCACCTTCACATACAAGTCTTCAAGATCTCACCTCCTCAAGCTTTTGAACAGGTTCACAATCATAATGAGTGACTTATAATTAAATGTGAAGAAAAGAAGAAGTAGGGGGAAATCTTGAATTATGGAAAATATTGTTTTAAAAGAAATATAAACCTGAAGGCTTTTTAAGCAAACCAAATATATGAAGGAGTTCATAAAATTTCAAATTATACTAAGACGTGTAGTTATTTTGAATCACAGAAGCTTTTGTTAAAAGATAACTAATCCCTGTGTAAATACTTTGTTTGTATACACATATGGTTAAAAGTCTAAAGCAGGTAATCACTAGCACGGACTATTCCATGAATAAATTTGACTTTTTAGGAGAATAACTTTACGATTAGTATATAGGTAGAAAAATAGCATTATACATTCTGTAATGTCTTGACCTTTCAAATTAGCTAAAAATTTAACCAATGTAGATAAAGAAATCAGTGATTAAAAGGCTATGGTATTCTTTTCAGGTCATACAAAATATAGTTTGCATTTTTGACTTTCAGTTGAAGTTTGTGGTAGACAGAAACATTTAAACATTTTCCGCCTCTGGCCTCTGGCACACTTTTTCTCGTAAGCTGTAGTCCTCAGCTTACAATGGCAATTGGGACCTGAATTCCCATCATTAAATAATGCAGTCATAAAGCACAACATCAAGTGATTGTCACTTAGCAACAGCAATTCAAGCAGTCCCAGCTGGCTTTACTAAATTGCATTGGCTGCAATTTTTGACCAGTTTCCCTATTGACTTTACTTGTGGGAAGCTGGCAGAGAACATCAGAAATCATGATCTTGTGATCACAGAGATACTGCAATGGATAGAAGTATAAGGAGTCATCTTAAGTACCATTCGTTCAGTGCCACTGCAACTTTGAATAGGTTGTTGAATAGTCATAACCCAAGGACTACCTGTATTTGCTTTTCATCATATACAAATATGGGATTGGATGCCCTATTTTGCCATTGCAAATTGTAACTTCCCAGACAGCAGTTTATAAAAAGGAAAATTTGGGGCTGGTGTGGGGAGGGTAAGTACTTCAAAGTTTTGGATATAAGAGAATGAAATCAATCCCTTTTTTCAAATGTGAAGCCATTCTATTTTTGAACATAAACTAATCTGGTCCACTACATTTAGAGCAACAAAAAGTCTATTTTCATTTACAAAAATGTGTTGCAAATACATGCATTTTTTTGGTATAAAATAGACATTAACATTTTAGAATATATTTTGCAGAGCAAGCAATGTATTCTTCCTTTTGAATGTTTATGTCTCTAGAAAAACTTATAACCATAATTCTTTTCCTTATATTGTTAGATGAGTTTGTTTTGTTATGTAACACTGATGCATTAAGTTTGTTAATTTATGAATTTATCTTTCAAAAACTATTCCTAGATTATGGAAAGCAAATATGATGTAGGAGCCATGACTGAACACATTTAATAGACATTATGTTTGATTTCAAAAAATGTGTCTCATCTTAACTTTGACACTATAATAAAAGCAGTTGTAGGTGCAGTCAGGATAGTTTGATTCTTTTTAAAATATTGCTCTCTGGTTATTATTTTTTGCTGTTTTCTATTGTACACTTCCATAAGGGAATCAATCCCAAGTGGCCACTGCTTATATGTTAAGTAAAAAAAATTCCAGTCTGCACCACTAATTATTATAACATCTCTCTAGAAATTAGAAAACCCAATAGAATTATAAGAACAATCTATCACCTTGAATTTTAAATGAGGTGTAAAAAAAGCCTCATAAGCTGATCTATATCAAAATCATATTTACAGATTCAGTTGAAAAATTGCCCTTATGCAACTATGGTGAATTCTATATAGAAAATCATTAATTAATGGAGTGGCATTATGGTAATTAATAAGTGCAAAACCTTGATATTTAAATATAATAAAATATTTCAAGCAAATTTTGGTGAAAAAATAGAAGAAATATATTTAATATTTTTAAAAAAGAAATCAGATTTGAAACAATTATAAATTGCTTTAACTAAGTATTCCATAACTGTATAAATACTGCATCTGTAATGTTTGAATGTGTGTTAGAAGTATGAAAATGTAAATTATCTTTAAAATTTTTGTTTCATAAACTCAATGAATCAATCTTTTGATATTTCAATTGATGGTAAGAAACATTTCAGTTGGAAATTAGTGCTTTCTTACTCTTTATTCAATAATCACTGCAATGGTACTTTAAGGGTTTTTAATTTAATTACATAAATTTGTATTTTCAAAACAAGTTTGATGTATCAATTAACTTCTAATTTTCCATTCAAATAGTACATTATGCCACGTATTAATACATTTAAATTAATACAGTACTAAATCTGGAAAACATAGTGTAATATTTTACCATATGATAGTAAGGAATTTGTAAACAGTATTGTTCAATTCTCATGTTAAAGCACTTTATTCTAATGTGTGTAATGCTTCCCCCCCCCCTGGCTTTTAGGACTTTTTCATTTTGACTTGAATTTCTAATTCAGCTAATGGACTTTTGTAACTACTGTGCCTAACTAGGAATAATCCTACACTGTAATATTTTGAAGTTTACAAATACTGTCATAACCAGGTATTTACATTTGTAATTTGAAAATGAAGGAAAAACGTTATGATAAAAGAATCATAATATTGTGAAAATGAAAAAACAGATATTGTTTTTAATTACTTGTTGATTTCTCTTGTAACAATGAAGTATTCAGACACATATAATTTTTAACATGGAATGTGAAACAGTCTCTTTTTTTCTCCTCACAATAGCTAATGTGTATATATGTATCATGTTATTTAGGTACAAGTTGTTTCTCCACTGAACCATCAAAATAACATGGACTGAAGAGATTTGCGAACAGTTGCCATCTCTTGCTGTTGCTGTTATGAGAAAGAAAGAAAAATATATTGATCAAATGCAGCATTTTGTATCACAGTACTCTTAGCTTGTGAATTATAAACAATATCTTTTCTATTTAAGTCACTGAAATTTTCATAAATCAGTATAAATACTTACTGTGTCCATCATGATTTTCTTTTGCAACATGGACATTTCTTTGCGAAGTTCACTCTGTGCCCCTGCTAAAAGACTTTCATGAGTCTTTTCCATGTCTTCCATACTCTACAATTAGAATTTGCCTTCATGAAAACTGGACAATAATTCACATCAAGAACACTCTTTCATTTGTAAAGTTAAAATATAGACTAAATCCTTCAAATGTTTAGTATTCTGAGGAACATAATCTCATATAGGGGAAATGTTAAGTTACCAAGATAAAATTCATTTGGAGGAAATTTACTAATCTTGGCACTACAAGTTCTGAAGTGATTTGGGAAGAAAACCTGAAAGATAATAGAAAAATCACTACATGCATCATTTATGTATGAAGAAAGCTTGAAAGTGGAACATTGTTGAGATGATACATATTACATAAGAAATTTGTCCAGTAATGAAAATCAGATGTTGGATTATAGTATCAACTCCAGTATGTTATACTGGCATTGTTAAGACTGATCTCAAAATTACATGATGGAACAAAAATTAGTAGAAATGTGAACTTGATAAAACTATGTCCAGAACTACCATTTGATTTAAAAATGACCTTTATAAACTGCTCATATAACTGCTTAATTGTTTTCAGCCTCTGACTTTGAACTATTCTTGCTTGCTGGAAAGCTTTCTGTTGTTGTCGAAATACATTCTGAAGGGGGAAAAAGTATAACGGTTAATAAGTTGATATAATTCAATTACAGAAATTTTCCTTGTTGACAAAAGACATATCAGGAATAGACTTATTCCAAGTTTTATGGTGCTGCATATTTTCAGTTTCAAAACTGTTTGTGTACACCTGAATTCAACTTGAATCCTTGATGTTCAAGTTTATTTTGGGAAAGAGATCGCTTACAAAACAATTTGGGATAGCTGGTTTAAGACTCAGTTCTGGCAGAAAGGAAAGTTAAAGGTGTCTTACCTACTTACTAACTGGGCTTAAATCTCACCTGTTTTAAGCAACCTTATAAACTGCTTGACTTTGTTAATTTTGATGAAGTGCTTGACTTTGCTAATTTTACTTGAATTTCCTGCACTCTGTGTGAATAAATATCTTCACAAAGTTAGGAATGCACACAATTTTATGCCACTGAATATTTCATCTTTTATCTTTGATTATTGATTGATAATTTCTCCTATACAAGTCATCTTCAACTTACAACCACATTTAGGACCAGTATTTTTATTGCTAAGCAAGGCGGTTGTTAAGTGAGTTGCACTGATTTTATGACTTTTTGTCAGTTAAGTGAATCACTGCAGTTGTTAAGTGAATTGCAGTCATTAAGCGAATCAGGTGTCCCCCATTGACTTTGCTAGTTGAAAGCCAGCTGGGAAGGTTAAAAATGACAATCGCATGACCCTGGGATGTTGTGAATGTCATAAATACATGCTGGTTGCCAAGTGCCTGAATTTTGATTGCATGACTGTGGGGAGGTTGTGACAGTTGTAAGTATGAGGACTGGTTATAAGTCACTTTCAGTGCAGTTGTAACTTTGTTCACTAAACGAATGCTTGTAAGTCGAGGGATACCTGTATCATAGGAAGAAAAAGCAGAAGTTGGCATGAAATAGCAATCTGATGGTTAGTATAATAGAAGAAAACAAACCGCTAGCTTTTCTTCCTGTTCCTCTGCTTTCTGTATATCGGCATCCCATTGTTGAAATACATGCAGGAACTGCTGAGAATACTCATGGTTAACCTTTTGCCTACAATATATATTTATCATTACAAAGAGTGTAATATGTAATATCTTGTAGAATAAATCCACAGGAGTGTGGAATAAATGCTGACTTTAACAAACTAAATTGGCATACTTGTGGGAACTCCTGGAAGATTGCAGACTTTAATGCTTTAAGTATCAACATTGTGGCATTTTTTAATATACAAACAGAAATGAAAATCAATGATTTTTTTAAAAAATGTTTAAAAATGTTTTTATTTTTAAATCCCTGGGTTAATATAATCCAGATTCATTCACATCATATGTAATCCAGATACTAAAAAAAGCAGCTAGGATATTTCTCCAAGGGCTAAAAGTTTGTTTTTCAGTAAGCAAAATGCTGAACAAAATTTAGTCATAATTTACATATAGTCTTTGACTTTATGACCAGTTGCTTAAAAGTCATGATGGACTCCAAAAATGGGACTTATGACCCAAAGTTCTCATATCCAGCCGCCATGTGGTCATGTGACCATATTTTGAGCACTTGGGAACCAGCCCACATTTATGGGGGTTTGCAGTGTCCTACGGTCAAGTGACTACACTTTGTTTTTGCAGGAAACTGGTGTTTACTGGCAAAAGCTTACCCTATAGCAAAAAAATGAGTTCATTTAAAAACCATGCTCACTTAGTGATCACAGGGTTTGCTTTGTGTGTTCACTTAATGATTGCTGCAAAAGTGTAAAATCAGATCCAGTCACATGAAGACTGGCTTTATAATGGTCATGACTTAGGACCGAAATTGCAAGCTCAATTACAGTTGTAAGTCAAGGACTATTTGTAAAGAATTAAGTAATGATTTTCCTGTGAAATATATGATTCTTGAAGTAACTGACCTTTGTTCCTGTTGTGTTTTCCAAACAAATTCTATTTTCTGGTTGCTTGTTTTAAGGGAAGCTTTTGTATACATTTCTAATCTTTTCCTTTTAGCCAGAAGAGCTTTGTTAATGTCCGCTACAGTAAGAGAATTGTACAGTGTGTTTTTAGCAAGTAGATTTAACACTTTGTAATAAATCCAAACATTACTATAGCAACTTTTCAGACTAATTTTGAGTATTATATACATTGTACACCTACCTATAATATTTTCAATAAGCCAGTATGCTGATAAATATTGAATCATTAACATTATCAAATGGATAAATTCTACTACAATACCAAACTGTACTGGTAAACATAATGTGCCCTAATGTATGATGATCAACAGAAAAAGCAGTAAAACAGGTTTTCCTTACAGTTCCACTTAATCCTTGAAAGTTTTTCAGTAAGGCCATTTCAAAAGTTTAACTTCACTTGAGAACCAAACTGGAAATGCATTAATTAACAATTTTAAGAATGTGCTATAAACCTGATAAAGTTTAAATCAAGGGTCCCCAATCCCCCAGTCCGTGAACCAGTACGGGCCACAGCATGCCAGCAATTGGTCCATACAAACAAGCAAAGCTCCATCTGGGGGATGCAGGTAGCACACAAAATCACATACTTTCTGGTCCCTGGAAAAACCTTTCTCCACGGAACCGGTCCCTGGTGCCCAAAAGGTTGGGAACCTCTGGTTTAAATGATTGTAAGTAAATTATATAATAAACTACATATAAACAAGAAGCAATTTCCCAGGTTTTTGGGAAGAACTTGATGCACATGACCATCATACCAGCAGGTACACAGAAATAAAAACAAAATATTGACTTTAAATTGAATAAAATTTAGATATTAATTCAATGTTAGCTGACAATTTTGAATACATTAAGTATTCAAAAAGTATTTTACCTACTATTGATGTTGCACTTCAAATATTAATATATACTGAAGGATCTTATGAATTGATTTACCTGGTTTATATTATTCCTACCTACCCCTCAACTCTTCTTGGAGAAATTACAAAAGTAGGAAACCTAAAATACAGTAAAGAATGTAGAATAGTGTTACTACATTCAGCTCTAGTGACATAAATTATGACATACCTCCAAATCGTTCCAGCATATTCTGCACTTCTCCACTATAAAATAGATTAATTTTAAGAGTAATTTTTGTACATTATAAAAAATTATATTTCTCATATTGTTTTGTAGCAACAAAATAGAGATTTAACATAGCATAACAATTATATAGTTAATATGTACCCATATACTTAATATTTGAAATATACTTTCCTAAAACATGTTGTACAATCAATACTGTGAATGGCACCTATCAATATTAAAAATACGGTAAAATAGAGAAAAATATAGAGATATATTATTAAAAGAAATAATTGAAGGTATTACCTGTGAAGAAATAACTAAGTAACAGTATTATCATTAAACTGTGGTTACTGAATTCCTGAGTTCAATGAATATTCAGCTAATTCTGGACCAAGCAATCAGATATTTGTAGCCTACATATAATATTATAATCAAACCATTGTTAAGTATGTGACTAGCCCTTCTGTATTCAGCATATGCGTACTTTATTGCAGCCACCTTATGTCTAACTGGATGAGAATTATAGCATCAAAGGGAGGATATTCAACGATGGTATTTTATTTATAGCTATTGCTGGTATGCTCATCTTTATTTTTCTTATCATAAAAGTAATTGTGGAAGATTAAAAAAACTGAATCAAATTTTGTAGAGATGATGAGGCAAAGCTTTATTTAATAAGTTCAATAGTTCTTATTTGGCTTACTATTAGTTCATTTACTATACAAAAAACAAATGGATCCTTGTCAAATCAAATTTGGATTTCAGGTTGCAGTTCTATAATTTCTTTTTTTAAAAGCAACTCCCGCTTAATTCAGATAGATGTATTTCCTATTTTTACTATGAAAATATCTTCATTATAGAGCAATTTTAACATTTTAAATTAAGTTATACAGATAGTCCTTGTGTTACAAAGGCAATCAGGGTTGGAATTTCCATCAAGTGACAGTCATAAAACATGATGTCACATGACCACTTAGAAAAGGCAATTGCTGCCACCCTCACTGGCACTGTTAGGCATTAAGGTCATTAAGCAATAAGTTCCTTGCCATTACCTGCTGGCTTTCAACAACCATAAGGGAAGCTGGTAAAAAGCTGCAAGTCTTGTTGGCTTGCAAGCAGGCTGGGAGATAGATAAGTGGCTGATGTCAGGTGGAGGAAGGCGTGCAAGTGGCCAGGGAGGCACAGCATAAGTGCAGCAAGGGTCCAGGAGGGTGGGCAGGTGGGCTAGTAAGGCAGGACAGTGGGATGGCATGTAAGTGAGGAGATTTATCTGACCAACTTGTGACCTTCCTTGTTGGCTTCCTGTTTGTATGAAGCAAACAAGGAGGATCACAAATTGCAATCACATAACTGCCAAAGCATGGAAGCAATATAAGTGCAAGTCAGTTGTCAAGCATCCAAATCACAATCATGTGACTACAGGGGTGCTGGGATGGCTAGAACTTTGAGAGCCAGTCATAATCACAACTTGTTCAGCATCATTGTAATTTTGAATGGTCACTGAATAAGTGGTCGTTAACCAAGCACTATGTATATTTTGGTATAAATTGCTAAAATATCTAATATATCTAATATGGAGTTCAGCATATCTAGTCTGAAAAACCCAGGAAAATTTGTTGGTTGCAAAGAGTAGGTGTTTTCTGAATTTTTGTTATCTAATGGCCATCCAGTTTTGCAAATATGATAGTCTTATTCTATTAGCATGTGGATTTATAAATTCTGCTCTGTGTGATGGTTATAAGTCAATTTCCCAATTCAATTCTTAGTTTAAAGAGAGACTGAATGCTTGAAATTTCTCATACTTGTATTTTTTGATCCAATCCAGTAATTTAACAAATTCTTGTTTCTATGTAAAATAAAGACAAACTTTATTTAAAACATGCACACATTTTTGCAATGCCATCTTACACTGACCTGACAATCTTTCTATGCAATATCGTATGAGTTGATATACAGAAAATTATTCGTAAGTTGTCACCAAACTTACGAAAAGTTTTATACATATGCACTTCTGATTGTGATAGACTACTATAACTCTACTGCTGTGATTATAAATGTATAATTACATTTAATATAATAGCTGTGCATCAAAAAAAATGAGTGAGAAAGCAATTTACCCAACATCATCCTCAACTCCTGCATGAGGTAAAGTTACTGAAGGTCTTTTCTTCCCATGTTTATCAATCACTGGAGCTTCATCTTTACAGAAAAGCAAAATATAAATTTAATTAGCTGCATCACCAGGAAAAGATGAAAGAAAACAGGTCAGTCCTCAGTGTTCCTCAAGCTGTGTGAACCACCCCAAACACCGAGTGTGTCTTGTAGTGTCCACTCATATGCATGAGGCCAATGAAGCTGTGACATGGTAATTACATTCACTAATCCAATCATACTTTCGCTACTCAAATTTAAAACATTACAAATTTTCATAAATTAAATCCTTATAGTTCTATGCTGAGCCTGATATATCAAATTATTGTGCATTACTTATTTATTTATATCCCATATGGAATATTTTATAAATAACTCAAAATGGCAAACACGTACAATAAATTGTCCTTCCTCCTCCTATTTTCCTCACAATAACCCTGTGAGGCGAGTTGGACCGAGTGTGTGTGACTGGTCCAAAATCACCCAGCCAGCTTTCATTATCTTCTGTGTACATTTTTCTGTGAGGACAACCAATAAAATAGCAAAATGAAATATATTTCAGAACAAAATATGGAAGAGTGAACAATAATTGTATTGTTCCATTTATATCTGCAATATTTATTCAGCCTAACAGCAGCTCTCCAAAAATCCCAGCAGAATTTCTTCCTGTAATATTTTATTATTCCGAAGACTGCATTTAAAGATTTTATACATACAAAAAAAGGTTGTACTATCAAGTCACACACAGATTTTAGGGTTAACGTGCAAAATGGTTTCATTAAATATTAAAATATTATTTAATTTCTAATTAATTTTTAAAACGTTTTAATGCTTTTAGAGAATCAGCTATACTTTTTTCAGCACTATACTTTAGTGACATACTCATGATAAAAATTATGCAAAAATCTTAGCTGAAATAAATTACAAAGCATATCAGTTTGTAAAGACTGTGTCCAAAAGTTTTGATATATAGTAATCTTTTGTGGACTAGAGTTTAAGTCACAATAAAACTTTTTGTTTAAATTGCCGTGAATGTTTGTTGTTTTTAGTGCAACAAACTGACAGCTACAACTTGGAAAACTGTACTGTATGTAAACTTCAGAGCTCTTAAGTGTTTTGAATTAGTGCATGAAAAAAGTTCAGATGCCTCTAAAACACTAAAAGTATAACAGAATTCTGCTGTTTCCACTCTCATAAGCACAATATGAATATATTTCTTTAAATGTCTATCAGGCTGTTTTGGGGCACTTCTACATAATTATTGATAATTGCTTACTTTGTTTACTCAACTTTCCACCTCTCAAAACCTGTCTGTAGATAAATTTCATATGACAGATAACTTTGAGTTCTAAACAATGGGTATCTGGTGTAATAGTGGGTTTTATTGATTAAGTTGACTACTGCACCTTCTCTAATGTCCTCGTCAGAACCACTCAAATGTTTTTTTGGGTCATCTTCAAAGTTATAGACATGTACAACTGAATCTTCTTGTGCTAATTTGGTTGTTTTTCCTGTGGATTTTCTTCCTGATGGTGCCATGATTTTCTAAATGCAGTAAAATTTACATAAATGTACATCATCAACATTCAAATGTCACATTTGTTTAATTAAATCTGAATACAGAGTAGTTGCATCTTGCATCTTTTTGTAAAGCTAATTGGAATTCAGTAATGTTATGTCCCTTATGTGCAGAATTTCTTATACTATACAAAGACATTTTTCACAGATGAAATTAGTGTGAGCTTATGAGAAAATACTCGTCTAATTTTTTACTGTCACTATACATAAAACAACTATTTCATCATCCAAGTTTAACTGAATAAACCAATCTCATAAATTAACAACCTAATTTGTTTTAAGTAAACTGCAAAACAGACCAAAATACAATTTTATTATTATTCCAACTTTATAGAATTGTTGGCTTATTAAAGTTGTTTGTGGATCAGTTGCAGTTCTCAGTATCTGGTATCTTCATGTTTCAATATTTAAATACTGTAGTTGAAATGCTAGAAAAGTCTGTTTGTAGTGAGGAGGCTTTAAAATACACACACACACGCGCGCGCACACACAACCAGTAGGACACTGAATTACAAGATTATAGTTCTGCATTTTATTACTCTGGGACTGGTTGTTGCCAACTTGTATTATAAAAACTATATACTGTACATGAAACACAGACTGAAAAATGCTTCTTAAAAGAGGCACAGTAATGTCTTTTTGGTATCAAAGCTGTCTTTGGGATAGGATTTTATTTGTATTAGACTATAACATTCTCTATACATTTGCTGGCTTGTGAGTTACCGACGCTAACAATTTTGATTGGAATATGCAGACACGCTGAAAGTCTATATATAAATAAAAGTTTAATAAATGAGATGAAAGCCTTTTCTAAGTATCCTATTTCCTTAATCGGCCCATCTTTTCCTTCGCCTTTCCTGGAAGTCTCTCCCCGATGCGCCCCTGGAGGAAAAAGGATAGCGCAAAACGATCCCTCTGCTCGCTCTTCAAAGCAGCCGCTGCCTCTTATTTCCCGCCCAAATCACCTCAGAGCCGAACTGGCGGCCCCGCTTTCTGCCTGAGCTCATCTCCCCTATGCGGACGGCACAGCAGGCCACCAGCTACCCACCTCTCGCCCAGCCACACATGCACCCAGATTATCCCTCCCGCTAGTTTCTTTCCGCCCCAAGCCCCGCGCTCTCCTCCCCCCACGCAGAGAGAGAGATTTAGAGAACATGCCGCCCGCACCCAGCTCTGCTCTCCTGAATCCTCCCCGCCCTTTCTTCAAAGGCTCGGTCTGCGCTTGCGTCAGAGAAGACTCTGACTCTCGAGGGAGCGTGCCAGGCTGGGCCGTCGACCGCGGGAATTTGGAGTGGCGAGATGCTTACTTTCCTTTCTTCATGACCATTGAAGAGTGGGAAGAAAGGAAGGACACCTACATCCGCTAGAAGATTGTGAGATAGGGGACCATATATAAATCGAAATAAACAACACACAGGCACATATAATACCCAAGATTGTGAAATGGGCATTTCTATCAAAGCACACAATCCAAATATAGCTTTTTGAACCTACTGCATCTCTACCTGGTGTTGTTTGAACCTAACCTGGATGCTTTTTCACCTAAACGTCTGAACTAGTTCACAAAGCCGCTTTTCAATTCCACTCCGCAATCTGTTCCGGAGATTCCTCCCCCCTCCCACGGGGCGTGTGTTTCAGTTTAGAAGTCTTACTGGAGGCTTAATACTCCCCCCCCCCCCCGCATGCCTTTCCATATTTAGACAGTCATCCAGCACCAGTGTTTGGGTGAAAGCACTCCAGGCCAGATTGGGAATGGCTCAGCACTTTGAGAAACAGTGGCCTACTTTAAAGAAAAAATAAGGCAGAAGAGCTAAGAGCAGTTTTACCAGTGCATGGATTTTATTACTAGAAAGCAAGTAGAGACCACTTATTTTTTTCTATTTCCCTATTGAACAGAAGTACAGCTATAGAATTTTAAGTTGCCCAGAGTCATTCAGATGAATTGGCAGCTGTGGAAACTGAATGAATCATTGTGTGTGTGTGTGTACAAGCATATATACTTAAAGTGGGTAACCCTCTTAACTTTTCTGCATTTTGGTGAGAGATCATAAGGCTACCAGATCGAGGTGCAGCAAACCAGATGACTATTTCATGCTGTCATCTAGCAGTTGTTGATTTTTTTGTTCAGATTTGATAGCCCTAAGAGAAGACTTCTGTCATTTTGTACTGAAAGTCAAAAGGCCTTCCCAGTCAAACCTGAGAATACACATGTACATGACAAGATTGCATGGCTATCACAGCTTAAAAATATGGGGGGGGGACCAAAACAACTATATATTCTTATTGGTGAAACGAATATTGTAAAAATGCATTTTTCCTGGCTGCATTCTTATACATTTTTCAAGGCCCTCAGCAGTGCTTTTTGAATTTTCCCTTGAAAGTAATCTTAATCTTCAAAAAATATAGCCAGGAGCTATAACACAAATCTATTGTATTTACTTTGGCTCCCGGTATACAGTGAACATGAGAGATAGATCTCTATGACAATTGTATCCCTTGGTCAATTCTGATTTCAACTTGGACTCAAAATAAATGGCAGTAGTCACAGTTTGTTTACCAAATTTGAGAAATATTGAATGCAAGGATGCAGAAGAGGATATCAATACAGCTAAGAAAGCCTTATTCCTCATTTTTTTCAATCATTAATTCCATAAATCACTTCACTTTTTTCTTCTTTTAGCAAAAAGACTACAGAAGGTTTCCAGTCTTCCAAAAAAAGTACTAATTGTTTTTCCCTGATCAAACATTTCCAAATGTTAGTCTTCATCATTTGATCACTGAAATAACTCATGTATCTAGTAGTGCTTTTTAGTGTTAATTTTTATTAAAAGTTTTTACATAGCTAAAAGACATATAGCAGTAGATAAAGAAAGGAGAAAAAGGTAAAAATGCAGAACAGAATACCGTTAAAAGAAAAAAGCCCCATAGTTACAGAAGCTACTTCTCTCCTTTACAGAAGTTACAAACTCATTATCCCCCTGCCCTTTTTAGCATTACAACAATCTCTTCTGTCCTTTATTTAATTTTTTGTCATGGTAAAATGCTTTTATTTTTAAAAAAAGTTTAAAAAGCTACTTTACAGAAGCTGAAAGAAATTTATTGTATTTAAAATTAATCATGTGTTTTTCTAGATCAGTGTTTCTCAACCTTGACAATTTTAAGGCATGTGGACTTCAACTCCCAGAATTCCACAGCCAGCAATGCTGGCTGTGGAATTCTGGGAGTTGAAGTCCACATGCCTTAAAATTGTCAAGGTTGAGAAACACTGATCTAGAAAAACACATGATTAATTTTAAATACAATAAATTTCTTTCAGCTTCTGTAAAGTAGCTTTTTAAACTTTTTTTAAAAATAAAAGCATTTTACCATGACAAAAAATTAAATAAAGGACAGAAGAGATTGTTGTAATGCTAAAAAGGGCAGGGGGATAATGAGTTTGTAACTTCTGTAAAGGAGAGAAGTAGCTTCTGTAACTATGGGGCTTTTTTCTTTTAACGGTATTCTGTTCTGCATTTTTACCTTTTTCTCCTTTCTTTATCTACTGCTATATGTCTTTTAGCTATGTAAAAACTTTTAATAAAAATTAACACTAAAAAGCACTACTAGATACATGAGTTATTTCAGTGATCAAATGATGAAGACTAACATTTGGAAATGTTTGATCAGGGAAAAACAATTAGTACTTTTTTTGGAAGACTGGAAACCTTCTGTAGTCTTTTTGCTAAAAGAAGAAAAAAGTGAAGTGATTTATGGAATTAATGATTGAAAAAAATGAGGAATAAGGCTTTCTTAGCTGTATTGATATCCTCTTCTGCATCCTTGCATTCAATATTTCTCAAATTTGGTAAACAAACTGTGACTACTGCCATTTATTTTGAGTCCAAGTTGAAATCAGAATTGACCAAGGGATACAATTGTCATAGAGATCTATCTCTCATGTTCACTGTATACCGGGAGCCAAAGTAAATACAATAGATTTGTGTTATAGCTCCTGGCTATATTTTTTGAAGATTAAGATTACTTTCAAGGGAAAATTCAAAAAGCACTGCTGAGGGCCTTGAAAAATGTATAAGAATGCAGCCAGGAAAAATGCATTTTTACAATATTCGTTTCACCAATAAGAATATATAGTTGTTTTGGTTCCCCCCCCATATTTTTAAGCTGTGATAGCCATGCAATCTTGTCATGTACATGTGTATTCTCAGGTTTGACTGGGAAGGCCTTTTGACTTTCAGTACAAAATGACAGAAGTCTTCTCTTAGGGCTATCAAATCTGAACAAAAAAATCAACAACTGCTAGATGACAGCATGAAATAGTCATCTGGTTTGCTGCACCTCGATCTGGTAGCCTTATGATCTCTCACCAAAATGCAGAAAAGTTAAGAGGGTTACCCACTTTAAGTATATATGCTTGTACACACACACACACAATGATTCATTCAGTTTCCACAGCTGCCAATTCATCTGAATGACTCTGGGCAACTTAAAATTCTATAGCTGTACTTCTGTTCAATAGGGAAATAGAAAAAAATAAGTGGTCTCTACTTGCTTTCTAGTAATAAAATCCATGCACTGGTAAAACTGCTCTTAGCTCTTCTGCCTTATTTTTTCTTTAAAGTAGGCCACTGTTTCTCAAAGTGCTGAGCCATTCCCAATCTGGCCTGGAGTGCTTTCACCCAAACACTGGTGCTGGATGACTGTCTAAATATGGAAAGGCATGCGGGGGGGGGGGGGAGTATTAAGCCTCCAGTAAGACTTCTAAACTGAAACACACGCCCCGTGGGAGGGGGGAGGAATCTCCGGAACAGATTGCGGAGTGGAATTGAAAAGCGGCTTTGTGAACTAGTTCAGACGTTTAGGTGAAAAAGCATCCAGGTTAGGTTCAAACAACACCAGGTAGAGATGCAGTAGGTTCAAAAAGCTATATTTGGATTGTGTGCTTTGATAGAAATGCCCATTTCACAATCTTGGGTATTATATGTGCCTGTGTGTTGTTTATTTCGATTTATATATGGTCCCCTATCTCACAATCTTCTAGCGGATGTAGGTGTCCTTCCTTTCTTCCCACTCTTCAATGGTCATGAAGAAAGGAAAGTAAGCATCTCGCCACTCCAAATTCCCGCGGTCGACGGCCCAGCCTGGCACGCTCCCTCGAGAGTCAGAGTCTTCTCTGACGCAAGCGCAGACCGAGCCTTTGAAGAAAGGGCGGGGAGGATTCAGGAGAGCAGAGCTGGGTGCGGGCGGCATGTTCTCTAAATCTCTCTCTCTGCGTGGGGGGAGGAGAGCGCGGGGCTTGGGGCGGAAAGAAACTAGCGGGAGGGATAATCTGGGTGCATGTGTGGCTGGGCGAGAGGTGGGTAGCTGGTGGCCTGCTGTGCCGTCCGCATAGGGGAGATGAGCTCAGGCAGAAAGCGGGGCCGCCAGTTCGGCTCTGAGGTGATTTGGGCGGGAAATAAGAGGCAGCGGCTGCTTTGAAGAGCGAGCAGAGGGATCGTTTTGCGCTATCCTTTTTCCTCCAGGGGCGCATCGGGGAGAGACTTCCAGGAAAGGCGAAGGAAAAGATGGGCCGATTAAGGAAATAGGATACTTAGAAAAGGCTTTCATCTCATTTATTAAACTTTTATTTATATATAGACTTTCAGCGTGTCTGCATATTCCAATCAAAATTGTTAGCGTCGGTAACTCACAAGCCAGCAAATGTATAGAGAATGTTATAGTCTAATACAAATAAAATCCTATCCCAAAGACAGCTTTGATACCAAAAAGACATTACTGTGCCTCTTTTAAGAAGCATTTTTCAGTCTGTGTTTCATGTACAGTATATAGTTTTTATAATACAAGTTGGCAACAACCAGTCCCAGAGTAATAAAATGCAGAACTATAATCTTGTAATTCAGTGTCCTACTGGTTGTGTGTGCGCGCGCGTGTGTGTGTGTATTTTAAAGCCTCCTCACTACAAACAGACTTTTCTAGCATTTCAACTACAGTATTTAAATATTGAAACATGAAGATACCAGATACTGAGAACTGCAACTGATCCACAAACAACTTTAATAAGCCAACAATTCTATAAAGTTGGAATAATAATAAAATTGTATTTTGGTCTGTTTTGCAGTTTACTTAAAACAAATTAGGTTGTTAATTTATGAGATTGGTTTATTCAGTTAAACTTGGATGATGAAATAGTTGTTTTATGTATAGTGACAGTAAAAAATTAGACGAGTATTTTCTCATAAGCTCACACTAATTTCATCTGTGAAAAATGTCTTTGTATAGTATAAGAAATTCTGCACATAAGGGACATAACATTACTGAATTCCAATTAGCTTTACAAAAAGATGCAAGATGCAACTACTCTGTATTCAGATTTAATTAAACAAATGTGACATTTGAATGTTGATGATGTACATTTATGTAAATTTTACTGCATTTAGAAAATCATGGCACCATCAGGAAGAAAATCCACAGGAAAAACAACCAAATTAGCACAAGAAGATTCAGTTGTACATGTCTATAACTTTGAAGATGACCCAAAAAAACATTTGAGTGGTTCTGACGAGGACATTAGAGAAGGTGCAGTAGTCAACTTAATCAATAAAACCCACTATTACACCAGATACCCATTGTTTAGAACTCAAAGTTATCTGTCATATGAAATTTATCTACAGACAGGTTTTGAGAGGTGGAAAGTTGAGTAAACAAAGTAAGCAATTATCAATAATTATGTAGAAGTGCCCCAAAACAGCCTGATAGACATTTAAAGAAATATATTCATATTGTGCTTATGAGAGTGGAAACAGCAGAATTCTGTTATACTTTTAGTGTTTTAGAGGCATCTGAACTTTTTTCATGCACTAATTCAAAACACTTAAGAGCTCTGAAGTTTACATACAGTACAGTTTTCCAAGTTGTAGCTGTCAGTTTGTTGCACTAAAAACAACAAACATTCACGGCAATTTAAACAAAAAGTTTTATTGTGACTTAAACTCTAGTCCACAAAAGATTACTATATATCAAAACTTTTGGACACAGTCTTTACAAACTGATATGCTTTGTAATTTATTTCAGCTAAGATTTTTGCATAATTTTTATCATGAGTATGTCACTAAAGTATAGTGCTGAAAAAAGTATAGCTGATTCTCTAAAAGCATTAAAACGTTTTAAAAATTAATTAGAAATTAAATAATATTTTAATATTTAATGAAACCATTTTGCACGTTAACCCTAAAATCTGTGTGTGACTTGATAGTACAACCTTTTTTTGTATGTATAAAATCTTTAAATGCAGTCTTCGGAATAATAAAATATTACAGGAAGAAATTCTGCTGGGATTTTTGGAGAGCTGCTGTTAGGCTGAATAAATATTGCAGATATAAATGGAACAATACAATTATTGTTCACTCTTCCATATTTTGTTCTGAAATATATTTCATTTTGCTATTTTATTGGTTGTCCTCACAGAAAAATGTACACAGAAGATAATGAAAGCTGGCTGGGTGATTTTGGACCAGTCACACACACTCGGTCCAACTCGCCTCACAGGGTTATTGTGAGGAAAATAGGAGGAGGAAGGACAATTTATTGTACGTGTTTGCCATTTTGAGTTATTTATAAAATATTCCATATGGGATATAAATAAATAAGTAATGCACAATAATTTGATATATCAGGCTCAGCATAGAACTATAAGGATTTAATTTATGAAAATTTGTAATGTTTTAAATTTGAGTAGCGAAAGTATGATTGGATTAGTGAATGTAATTACCATGTCACAGCTTCATTGGCCTCATGCATATGAGTGGACACTACAAGACACACTCGGTGTTTGGGGTGGTTCACACAGCTTGAGGAACACTGAGGACTGACCTGTTTTCTTTCATCTTTTCCTGGTGATGCAGCTAATTAAATTTATATTTTGCTTTTCTGTAAAGATGAAGCTCCAGTGATTGATAAACATGGGAAGAAAAGACCTTCAGTAACTTTACCTCATGCAGGAGTTGAGGATGATGTTGGGTAAATTGCTTTCTCACTCATTTTTTTTGATGCACAGCTATTATATTAAATGTAATTATACATTTATAATTACAGCAGTAGAGTTATAGTAGTCTATCACAATCAGAAGTGCATATGTATAAAACTTTTCGTAAGTTTGGTGACAACTTACGAATAATTTTCTGTATATCAACTCATACGATATTGCATAGAAAGATTGTCAGGTCAGTGTAAGATGGCATTGCAAAAATGTGTGCATGTTTTAAATAAAGTTTGTCTTTATTTTACATAGAAACAAGAATTTGTTAAATTACTGGATTGGATCAAAAAATACAAGTATGAGAAATTTCAAGCATTCAGTCTCTCTTTAAACTAAGAATTGAATTGGGAAATTGACTTATAACCATCACACAGAGCAGAATTTATAAATCCACATGCTAATAGAATAAGACTATCATATTTGCAAAACTGGATGGCCATTAGATAACAAAAATTCAGAAAACACCTACTCTTTGCAACCAACAAATTTTCCTGGGTTTTTCAGACTAGATATGCTGAACTCCATATTAGATATATTAGATATTTTAGCAATTTATACCAAAATATACATAGTGCTTGGTTAACGACCACTTATTCAGTGACCATTCAAAATTACAATGATGCTGAACAAGTTGTGATTATGACTGGCTCTCAAAGTTCTAGCCATCCCAGCACCCCTGTAGTCACATGATTGTGATTTGGATGCTTGACAACTGACTTGCACTTATATTGCTTCCATGCTTTGGCAGTTATGTGATTGCAATTTGTGATCCTCCTTGTTTGCTTCATACAAACAGGAAGCCAACAAGGAAGGTCACAAGTTGGTCAGATAAATCTCCTCACTTACATGCCATCCCACTGTCCTGCCTTACTAGCCCACCTGCCCACCCTCCTGGACCCTTGCTGCACTTATGCTGTGCCTCCCTGGCCACTTGCACGCCTTCCTCCACCTGACATCAGCCACTTATCTATCTCCCAGCCTGCTTGCAAGCCAACAAGACTTGCAGCTTTTTACCAGCTTCCCTTATGGTTGTTGAAAGCCAGCAGGTAATGGCAAGGAACTTATTGCTTAATGACCTTAATGCCTAACAGCGCCAGTGGGGGTGGCAGCAATTGCCTTTTCTAAGTGGTCATGTGACATCATGTTTTATGACTGTCACTTGATGGAAATTCCAACCCTGATTGCCTTTGTAACACAAGGACTATCTGTATAACTTAATTTAAAATGTTAAAATTGCTCTATAATGAAGATATTTTCATAGTAAAAATAGGAAATACATCTATCTGAATTAAGCGGGAGTTGCTTTTAAAAAAAGAAATTATAGAACTGCAACCTGAAATCCAAATTTGATTTGACAAGGATCCATTTGTTTTTTGTATAGTAAATGAACTAATAGTAAGCCAAATAAGAACTATTGAACTTATTAAATAAAGCTTTGCCTCATCATCTCTACAAAATTTGATTCAGTTTTTTTAATCT